AACCCACCCCCCCCCACTCACCCCCCTCCCGCCAGCTGGCAAAGTACCCCTCCAAGTACATATACGAGCCCTGGACCGCGCCCCTGGAGGTGCAGCAGCGCTGCGGCTGCGTGGTGGGCCGCGACTACCCCTTCCCCGTGGTGGAGCACACGGCTGCCAGCAAGCGCAACATGGAGCGCATGAAGGCGGCTTATGCCCTGCACAAGTGGGTGGCCACGGCCAGACGCGCCAGGAGCGGGAATAAGCTTGGGCCAGACGGATTCATCACGCCTTTGTGGGCATTACCCATTCCGTCTTGCCCTATGTTTTTGTGTGTGTGCGCGCGCACGTGTGCAGGCATGTGTGTGTTCATGTTGTGCATCAAGCAATCGATCTTCTCCACTTGTGTTTCCTTCAACTGCCGCCCTGACGCTTGTTGTGCTTGCTTGAGCCTCCTATTTCAATGTGTCACCCGCACCCACCCCTGCTGTCGCACCGCAGGCAGGAGCACGAGGCAGCCGGCGGCGGCGGCGGCAACTCCGATGGCAGCCCGGCCGCGGCGAGCGCGGCGGGGCCGTCAGCGGGCGCCAAGCGCGCCCCCAAGGCGTCAGCTGCCAAGCCGGCCGCCTCGACGGCGCCGGCCAAAAAGCAGCGGACTGTCAAGGATATGCTCTCTCAGGCCAACGGCCGGCAGCACAACGGCGCCCTGCAGGCCAACGGGGTGGCGAGGGCTGAGGAGGAGCCTCCGCACGTCGTGCCCGGTGGGGCGCCAGGGCCAGGGCCGGCGATCAGGTCTTGAACTCCGCGGTGAGGAGGTCGACCGCTTCGCCGCGATTGATGAGTGGGATTACAAGCGCCGGGACGCCGCTGCCTGCAAAGGCTGCTGCTGCTGCCGCAAGGCGGCCCCGCGCGGCGGCGCGGGCCAACGCCCGCGGCGCTTTGAGCGAAGACCGCCGCGCGCGCTCACGCGCGCGCGCCGAATGAATGACGGCCATGGCTCCATTCAGCCATGCTGGGTCCTCTTGTTGACTCATATTACTGAATCGGTTGCGCTTGGGGTCAGTCGCCCCTCGAGCGTGGTGGGCTTTGGGGTGACCAGGGGCGGCCGGCTCTTCTCAAGCGAGGATCGCCGCACGCCCCCGCCCCGCCCACTTGACTATTGCGACGCGCCAAGTGCACTCGTTTGTCCAGCCCCCTGCCTGTCCTCAGTCTGTCCGTTGCACTTTGACCTGCCTCCCTCTCCCAAGATCCCCCTCTTCTTGCTCCCCCTGTGGGAGGCCGCTCGTCAATGCTTCGTGGGCAGCCATTCTGCCTGCTGAGTGCTGTGTACTGTGAGCTGCCTGCTGAGCGCTGTGTGGTTCTTCCCTGATATGCAGATGCACCTTGCAAGGATCCTGAATCTGAGTGGTTGTCACACCCACGCACAGTCCGTGTGTAAATAGCAGTCACTCCTTGTGAACGCAGCCAGGATTCAGGCGACTCCTTCCTCCTGATAAGAGCGCAGTTAGTGGAAGTTACTGTCGCATGCTGAACCCCAACTTTCCTTGCAGGCAGGAGAGCAGGGCATCTCGAGAGCGCCAGGCGGCCCCGCGGAAAGGATTGCCAGGACAAGAGTTGCACCGCCCTTGTATCTCATTGCGATCGTGTGGGATGCAAAATTGCCAGCCATCTGGAGCATCGCCGCGGCGGACAGCGCCCTGGGGCTCGGCCAAAGCCACAACAAGCGCATGGCCCGGCCGATGTTTAGCTTGGTCACCACAGTCCCGCCGGCCATTAACCGTACCCCCTCCCCTGCAGACAGGGCTGTACGGCCCCCTGCAGGCTGTTATCATGGTTGCAGCTGCCGCCGCACCAGCACCAACAGCAGGCGCCTGTTGGCTGTGGTTACCGCCGCAGCAGCAAGGGCTTGGACCGCTGCCGACAGGCTGTCCGTAGATGCTGCAAGCATGACCTCACCCGGCTGCAAGGGCTGGGCGCCGACCCGCCTGAGGACGACCGCAGCTGCGGCATCCGCAGCGACCACCGCCGCGCCCCGCCCGCCGCGGCGTGGCGCGGGTCGCCAGGGCCCGCCTCCTTGCCACGCCCGCGATTGTCGTGCCTCTGCGCGGCCGCCCTGGTAGCGCTGCCGCGGGCGTGCTGGCAAAGACGCACACTCAAGGGACAGTGCAGGCCTGCGGCCTCGCGCCACTATCTTGGTTTTTTTTGCGCCCTGCTGCCCCACTGGCGGGCCTGCCAGGCCCGCAGTGCCACGTTCCCCAGGATGCCGACCCATTTGGACCATCCAATGATTGGATTACTTGGGAGGCATGATGACAACTGGGTGCAGGCCCGAGCAGCCAGTCGATGCAGCGGTGCTGCGGCTGCACAACTCCATCAGCCGTCGCACCAACAAGAGCCATGCAACATTGGTAGCCCGAGCCCCGCTTGTGCGACGTGACATCTTGGTCTACAAGCAGAGTGTCTTGCAGATCGCTGTTTGAAACAAGGACCAAAGGCCCAGGCAGACGTCTGCGAGAGCCGCTCTTCAGGCCTCTGTGTACAGCAGTATTCACATGGGCTCACATGCAGCCTTGAAGCCAGCACTTTGACTTGCTCCCCCTGCTGCCCTTCCATGCTGTGTCCAAACATGAGGCCACCCCGTCCACGCTGTCTGAAATCCCAGCCACTATAGAGCCGACACTTTGACACAGATTACGTTCCTGCAATTCAGGCCGGCACCAGCCATGAGGCGTTGCCGCCCGGGCGATACGTGCGGATGTCATTATTTCATCAGCGGGAAGGCGATGACGTCACGGATGCTGGGGCTGTCGGTCAGCAGCATCACTAGCCGGTCAACGCCAATGCCCAGGCCGCCGCAGGGCGGCATCCCGTACTCAAGGGCGGTTATGAAATCGTAGTCAACCTCGATGTCGTAAGGGGCGTCGTCGGGGTCCGCCGCTGACGGCTGCTGCTGCTGCTGTGCGCCGTCGCCGTCGCCATTGGCTGCTGCTGCCGCGGCTGCTGCGGCCTCTGCTGCTGCGGCCTCTGCCGCGGCCTTTGAGGCCGCCTCAGCCGCCTGAACCTAGAAGTGATTGGTTTCAGATTGCGGACGAACAAATTGGGTGATAGTTGAAAAGCAACATTTCGTACAGATGGGTTAGGGGTGACCAGGCAGGTCTGCTCTATGCACCAGCCAGCCCAGCAAGGGCAGAAGCTTGGCAGGCCGCAGCAGCTGGACAGGCCAAACGAATACCGTTGCGCCAGCCGCGGGGGACTGAGTCCGCGCGCCTCACCTGAGCGGAGTGCTGCGCGAGCTGCGCCTCGAAGCGCGCGCGCTGCTCCAACGGGTCCGTCAGCTCGCTGAACGCGTTGGCCAGCTCGCGGCCTGAGGGGTGATGGGGGAG